AAATCTTCGTCGTGCTAGGATCAGCGATGTGTGTGGTTGGGTCAAGCGTTCATGGGAAAACATATCCGCTCAAATCATAATTCGATCTTTTGAAAAATGTGGTATAACAGGAAGTTTAGACAGGAATTTTGACAAAGAAAATACGGAATTGGAAGTAGTTGTTATTGTTATAAGTGACGATGAGACTACGTAGATGAGTTTCTTTATTTCTGTATTTCTCAAAATACAATAAATAGTTACACAAAAATTTTGGGGAGGTGCTTATTTTCGGAGGTACAATTTTTTTTTGGGGGGGGGGGGGTGCTTATTTTCGGGGGGGGGGGGTGCTTATTTTCGGGGGGGGGGGCTTATTTTCGGAACTGTACGGTATTTAAAGTAACGGTTTGGTCTTTCCTCCGATCATTTTGTGGTACAAAGGTGACATTTATGGAAAATTAAATGATACGATGGTGAATCCGGATCGATCATCAACTTTATTAACATAACCACGATCGAATACACGGGAGCGTAAGTGCGAAGTCACAACCTCTTTAAAAAGTCTGAGTACGAAGATTACAGAATCTTTACAAGGAATTGCGGGTAGCTAACTGTCTGAGCGAGTGACGGGTGAGAATGTGCGTATGGGGAGCAAGAGTGTGTAAGAATAATAAAGCAAGAATGAAAAATCAGAAGAGTGAAAGAGTGAGAGAGGGAGAGAGGAGAGAGCGAGAGAGCCAGAGAATGAGAGAATGAGAGAACGAGCGGGTGAGAGAACGAGAGAGTAATGGCAAAAGTGTGATCGTGATGAAGAGCATGATCAAAAGACAAGAGAGCACTCGAAAGAAGTAGAGAACGAAAGAATGAGAATTGAAATAGTGAGAAATTGAAAGAGTGCGAATGGTTGCAAGAGTGGAGCGAGAGCAGGGTGGGTGAGTTTGAAAAAGATCGAAGATGGTGCAATCATCGGATAAAAGTCCAACTAAAAATAATTGGAGAGAATTGAACAGTGAAGAGAAAGTGATTGTGAAAGTGGTTGGGAGAGTGTGAAAAAGAGCAGCAGCGGTGTAAGAGATTGAAAGAGAATAAAAAAGTTATCGCAGAAGTGATCATTAACTATATTTAAGAAACGTTATACGGCATAACGACAGCGACACTAATCTAATACATGGAAGCATAAGTGCGAGATTACAGAACCACTGTGAGAGATTGCGGGTAGCTTTAGTGAAAGAACTGACTGTCTGATTGAGTGATATGTTGAGAATGTGTGTATGGGAGAGATGGGTGAGAGCGAAAGAGTGAACAAGAACGAGAATTATGAGAGTGAGATAATAGAGAGGAGTGAGCGAAAGAGTAGTGATTGAGAGCGGTAGCAGTGAAAGACTAAAGTATGGTTGAAAGAAGTGGGAAGAGTGCAATCACTGCAAAAGAATAACTAAACGAAAGTGTGGGCGATTGGAAGAGAATGGGAGAATTGTTGGGAGAGTGGTTGGGAGAGTGAGAAAAGAGCAAGGATGTAAGATATTGAAAGGGAATAAGGAAGTAAAGCGGAGATGAAAATTAACGAATGTACTGTATAAATATCATGAACATTGGATTCTTTGGTTGTTGGGTTAATGATGGTTGATGATGAAAATTGATTTTGTGTTGATATTATCTGTCAGTTTTTGCACACACACCGAAACACTTATCATTAAACAAATGTGTAAATACCATGAACATAGAATTCTTGGTTGCAGGAGTTGTTAGTGATTGATGACGAATCGATTTCGCGTTTTCGAAAAATTAAGCCAATCGATACATGCAAATTCAATTTTTTGCGTGCAAATCGATAACTACTAACAGATGTGTAAATTCAATGTGGCATAGGTTGCGTTAGTGATGATAGCGAAGACCGATTTCGCAAACACCACTCACTTAATTTTACTGGGATGTCAAACCCTACGGAGGAAAAGATACAACTTCGAGAAGGCAATCTATAATATCCTCAGAAAAGCGGGTTTTAAGGTGGAGTGGCAGTCGGAAGCTTGATGCGTTTTTGTTTGAACAACTTGTCTCTCATATCGTGAATTGGCTTCTGCAGTTACATTTTCATCACCGATTTCTTCGACATTTATTATTTTATTCTCCAACAACCAACGCAGATTCTTCCGTCACTTTCACATGTGACTATCTTTCTTAACCTTACCACTCAAAACGACACGGTTATCGACGACACCTATTAGTGAAAGAGTTCTATCCACGCATTGCGCAAGTCTCAATTTCACTCTTTCTCCTCCTCAAAGCACGAATACGACGAACACTCCTTCGCCGCCACTCCATATTATGCATGCGACAGTTCAGTGCAACTCATTAACAAACACTGATGAAAGAGTTTGAACACATCTCACGACATGCACCTGACATTTTTCTGTATTATGCAGATTCGGTTTATGACCACATCTTCTCTCCTCCAAAGTGTAAATTCAACAAGCAACCCTACCGCCACACTATGTTACGTACTACGACTATTCCGATACAAAACTTACGGGCAAACCTTCTAGCAACGACGCGGTTTATCAACTAGCGGATAAAAAAGTTCAAGCAAGCACATTTACTTATGCATACAATTCGGACGCTCTTTCTCCATTGTGCATGCATCGCTTTACGATAACATCTTCACCGTGTGAATACGACGAACCGTCCTTTGCCGCTACTATATAAGTTCAATGCAACTCACGAACAAAGTTCTCTGACAATCTGATACACTTATACATCACTAACCGGTGAAAAAATTAAACACACACACGCATATGATATACACGGGCAATTCTCTTTATTGTGTACATGCATTGATCGCTCTACAAAATTCCTCCAAAGCGTAAATACAACGAGTAATCCTCTCAACATTACGCAATACGACAGTATGCTACACGTTTATCAACTAATATCAAGCACATAACTTGAAACCTCTCCCTATTGCGCATACGTCGCTTTACAACAATGACGACTCCTTTAAACGCGCATACAACAAGTACAGGCGGGGTTGCTACAAAGACGCGCAGTGATCGATCACGAAGGCGATGAAGGTAATGGGGTAGATAGTAGTCGTATTAACCGGCTATTGCTTTTCGTTTCTAGCCGGTGGACGGGTGCGGATTTGGATCGAGTAGCGCGTAGTTACCGGTGACGCCCCTCTGCTCATCCCTTCACCAGCGCTCGCCTGCGGTGAAGTGATCCTGGCTGGGTCTGTTGTGTGTGTCACGGGGGATGCCCGGTACATTCTCAGACATCTTCTTTTTTTCTTCACCCAGCTTTTAGATGACGGGTAGAAGGTTTGGGTAAGTATTGGTAAGTATCGCATTGTTTTCACGTTATAAACTAAATCTACTTTCTTTCCTCCTTCTTTTTCCCCACTGGTGGGTATGCCGGGTGATCGGATCCGATGGGACTCTGGTGGAGCTGTAGATCGATCTGTCCTGAAGCTAGTTAGAGATGATTGGTGAGTTTGCTGCTTGGCATGCCGACTGAAAGCAATAGTCATATCCACCCATTACCTCATTTAAATAGCATAGTATTAATTAATAAAGCACTTCTGTATATTTAAAATATTAATTAAAAAAAAAGGTTTATTAAAATTATTAATGTAGTATAGCAGATAACCCATGTACAGTAATATATAAAAGTCAAAGAAAATCAAATTGAAATTATTTGAGACGATATGCGACTTGAATATTATGTCTTTATTCGTACCCGACTCGTACTCCCTAACCGATATCAAAACGCCTATCTCTTAATCGAGTAAGTTATTCAAAAACATGATAGATAAACCCCCAAGAAAACTCAATGCTCCAGTAGCGACATTAAGGCCATCATCTGATTTCGCAAACATACAAAGTATATACGCCTTGATTGAGTACATACTGTTGTAATAACAAATTATTATTTGATAATAAATCAACTCATATTTTTGACGGCGGTTAGTGATGATAGATTTGCAGAAGCTTTACTTTTTGTACGCTTATATTCGCAAAGCACATCTTATAGCGCACGCTTAGAACTGATTACAGCAAATAATTATTTATCCAAATATAAGGAATTGTGTCTATCACGTCAAGAAGGTATAACTACGTCTGAAAGATGTACAGAAAGTCAACTCATTATTACTACCCGATACCTGGTTGCCTGCGGCCAGACAGTAGAAAATGTATACGATAAATGCAAGAAGGAACGATAAGCGGAAAAGCGATTATTCGTCGAGGCCACAAAGGGCGAGACAATTTCACCGCAAGTCACTCAGAACACAAGAATATAACGTTTCACATATCCATGATATCATCAATATGGCTTTAACGTAGTAAGCTGTGAATGTTATGGAGTGACTTGCAATGCGTATTAGGGCCAAGTTACCAAGACATTAATGTAAATCTCGCTTCCACACTATATCCGATTGCCTATCCGCGTATCCGAAACATTTTTTCCTTACTGTTTTCGTTTATTTTCTATCGATGACGGAGACACAGTTATATACTACTTGTCACGCGGTATCGTCATAACTCCACTTTTGCTTGGTGCAACCATCAGTGCAGTTATTAATAGACAAGTCATGTAATTGCTTTTTTATATTATGTTGGTTGTATGTTGAGGAATTTGAATCGGGTGGGGTGTGTTAGTAATTTTGTGTTATGACATAATAATAATAGGTGCGTGTGAATAAACAGCTAATTAAGATTTAATAATTAGGTATGGTATATGTTACACATTTTGCGTAATGGTAAATTATTTAACGAATAGACATAACCTTTGTTATTATAAATTGTAGTTTAGCTTGTGTTATGACATATTAATATAGTATGTTGGATGTAAAATAAATAGATAGTGTAGGTTTAATTAACGTATAGTAAATATTTACCTTAATCACTTGATGCTCGATGTTAACCTGATTTGAGCGGATATGTTTTCCCATGAACGCTTGACCCAACCACACACATCGCTGATCCTAGCACGACGAAGATTT